AAAGCAATAACTTTTTATTTGTATTCAAATACTATTAAAGAAAACTAGATTTCTGGCTTTTGGAACTTTGAAGTAAATAAATTCAACCTTAAAAATTCAGAGCCTAAATCTTGCTTTCTTTTAGTAATGCTTATCTATATATTAATATTATTTATATAAATAAAGCTATCTAAATATTTAAATAAATTTATTGCTAGATTGTTAAGGTTTTTTTTAATATTTATTGTTAAAACTTTAATTAAATACTATATATACAGTTAACACTAATATTATTAGAAATTATTTTTCATAAAAAAAAAGTAATCAATTACTGACTTCTAATTTCTTCACTATTTTTTTTGACTTTTAGACAAAATTTGAAATTTGATTGAAAATTTTAATGAGCAACACCTATTTTTGATATGCACACAAATTTTGTCTAATCTAAAAGTCAAAAAAAAGATCAAATTTCACATAATTTTGCAAACCGCAATAAATGTAATTCTTATTTTTTTTTTAAATTTTAATTATTTTTTCTCATTTATTAATAAATACTTTTTTTTATTTAACATAAATTAAGCGAACTGATAATCTACAAATTTTGTATAATGATCAAGCATAAATAAAACTTCTGTCTGGGTTATGCAAGATATCTCTTTTCTTTAGCTTATTCTTTCACCAGAGGTATCACCAAGGTTATACCTCTTATTAAGATCTGTATATTGCTATTTCACCAGAGTTTTGTCTTTTGTATTTTTTTAGGCTCAGATTTTAGGAGTTCTTCCTTCTGCTACAGGTTCTGTCTTTCTTTGGAGCTTTACTATTTCACTAGATTTCATATTTTCTAAGCTCAGATTTTATCTTTATCAAGAGTTCCTCTTTTCACTACAGGTTTCATCTTTTATTGGAGATTTGCTATTTCATCAGGAGGCTTCATCTTTCATGCTTTTTCAGATTCAGGTTTTGCCTTTCACCATTTATATAAAATAGCTTCATGATATGGATAGTAAAATGATGGATATTCACAAGCCAAATAAAATAATTAATGCAATTGAAATAATTGGATATATAATGATAAGTAATAATTTTTTTAATTTGTGAACTTGTTTTGCAGATTTTTAATTCCAATTATTTAATAAATGGTCTTTATATTCATGAACCTAATGAAGTGATTAATACGAATAAAACAACTAATACGAATAAAATGACTAATGTGAATGAAACAACTAATGTGATGAAATGGTTAATTCGAATGAGGCCATTCTCAAGCACTCCCTCAATATAATAAACTAGTGATCGAAAGATTCTGATCGATGCTTGAACTATCTCTTTCTTCAATTTCTATTATGTCTTAAAGAAAGAAAAGCTAATTATTCAGTTAACTAAAAATTTGGCACCCATGACTTTGGCATTTAGACTTTCCTTTAGCCATTCTTTTAACAATTTTACAAATAACTTATTATTACAACAGTAGCAATATTTGGCTACAAGTCATTATGGCAACAACCATATTCAGCAATACAACTTTATATAGATCTATTACTATTAAATAAAGCGATATCGAAACACAGTGAAGCATGAACGTTTTTTTTAATAAAATATATATTCAATGTATAAAAAAAATAGTTTTTTATTCTTTGAACATTAACTCTTAACATCTTTTGTTTGTTATAAGAGTTTTTAGCATGAAGAGTAGGATAATTTATTGTAGCAATAACAAGAAAAAGAGCAATCTCCTGTCAAAGATAAATTTAACAAATCAGCACAGCTCTATAAAAAAAAATTTATATCACAACTTTAGGTTTTTTGACCAAAATGATGATCACAATCAATTTTTTTGACCAATCAAATCATTAAGTTAGCTCATTGAGGTAGGCACTTGAGAATGGTTTAAAATAATTTATTCAATTGAAATAGAATTTCATTTAATATTAGATTAGATCTAGGTATAGAAACTAGTTAATTGGTGTTTTGACTAGAGATAGATCGAATTTTAGAGTTGAGTTGGGGTTCATTTAGACATAGAATCAAAGTTAAAATTATA